TTTCAGTGAGACAAACAGCTGCTGTAGCACATGCGCCATAGAATTGCCACCACTCTTCTATGGTAATAAAGCTGAGAGAATTCAGTGGAGTTTAATACCCACCTTGACGCCTTTCCATGTTGCTTATTTCCTCTGAAGGCAAGCCCTGGTGCAAGACTTCTTCCTATTGCCACCCCAGACAATGATATCTGTCAAGTGTTCTTCTTTTCACTTTAAGTCACACTGTGTGCTGATGGGAGATGCAGCTCATGCCATTGTCCCCTTTTTTGGCCAAGGAATGAACGCGGTAGGTTCTTTTTAACCCAGGTAAGTTCCTGAAATTTTTCCGAGTCAGTCTCGTCAAGTCTTAAATAAAATATATTGCTAAAACTATCCCCATCTAAACAGAGTAATTCAGTAAGTGAACCTGTTGCTTACCTAGATTGATCACCATGTCAAGTTAGGATTTGAATGATTTGGTCTAGTTATCTTACATGTTTAAAAAAAGATTAAAATGCAATTTAGCATTCGATACCATTGGAAAATGAAACAATGGCTTTGTAATTTGGGCAATTAAGGTGATTCAAGCTTTAATTTTTAAAGTAGTTTTTCCAAGAGATTATATGGAAATACATAACATTAGCCTCAAAAAAAGAGAAGATTGTCAAGCTATCATTTTACAATATCTCCTCCCCACCTCTCAGGAGGAAATGAGAATCAAAATTGACAAAAATTAAATAAAACTACCCAATAGATTGGAGGTTGAATACTGCCTTCACGGAAGCCTCACCTACCTGCTCTGTCAGTGTGCCACTTATGCAGTACACCCACCAATGAAAGTTCTGTTGAAAATTGGTAAAATTTTATTACTTCTGGTTTTCTCTCTCTCTCTCTCTTTTTTTTTTTTTTCTTGTTTCAGGGTTTTGAAGACTGCTTGGTACTGGATGAGTTAATGGATAAATTCAATAATAATTTTAGTAAGTAAACTTTCTCAGTCAGATATGGACTAGATATGCTGATTAATTGTGGGACCTATTTTTAATCACCAAAGTTTGGCACATATTTTCTTTTCAGAGTTACAAAATTTTTGATTACTAGCATATGCCATTGTTGTTGTCCACATCAGACAATCTTTACCTGGAAAGGAAACTTAGCTTCTCTTAAAGTTTGTTCATAGAGATATATGTTAGCTCTTCATTACTGCAACAAATACTTGAGATAGTCAACTTATTCAAAGAAAAAATTTGGCTTCAGTTTATAATTTTTAAGGTTTAAGTCCATGAGTCCATGACCCCATTTTGGTGCATCATGGCAGGGTTTGCAGGGCACAGCAAAGGCTGTTCCCTCACAGCCAGGACTCAAGGTCCTCCTCAGAGGCAAAGTTTTCAAGAGATGGTTGAGATTATGCCTGAACTGTGCAGCAACACCCTATCTCAAAAAGAAAAATAAATTACAACATCTCTAACATTCTCTCTCTCTCTCTCTCTCTCTCTCTCTCTCTCTCTCTCTCTTTCTCTCTCTCTCTCACTGAAAATTAAACCCAGGGTCTTTGCTCTGGGTTACACTGTATCCCCAGCCGTTTTTCCTCATTCATTTTGAGATAGGGTCTGATATGTCCCTAAATTGCCCAGGCTAGGTTCAAACTTATGCTCTGCCTACCTCAGGGCATCTCTAACAGCTAAAATTGTTTGGCTGTGTGAGAGTAATACAAGTTAGTGACTCATTTGTCAAATATGTATTTATTTTTTCTTATATGACATGTGAAGAGTTTACATATGAACAAAACCTGGAGTCTGGCTTCCAGGAGCTCATGGAAGAAAGGAAGAACTGGTGTTCAAGCCAAGAAGTGTCTTTAGTACAGTGAAATAAGTGTGCATGAATACAAAGGAGCACAAAATAGAAAGTAGCAAGTCGTATGTGGGGCGAGGGTCATTCATACAAACTTTTCATTTGTAAAATAGAGGAAAATAATAATTTTAACAATTAAGCATAATACATATTAACTTTATTGTAAGTTTTATTTCTTCACAACAGAAAATACAGTATGGACCTTGGTCAATAATCGTAGACTGTGACACAGAACTGTTAGTCATAGCTTTAAAAGATTAGTATGAATGTTCGTATGAGTATTCTATTTCATTTGACTGAGAGTCCAGCACATTTTTCTAGGCTTCTTTGAAAACAGGTATTATTTAACTTGGTTTCTAGGTTTGTGTCTTCCGGAATTCTCACGAGTTAGAATTCCAGATGCCCATGCAATTTCAGACCTGTCTGTATACAATTACATGGAGGTGAGTAAGCTTTGTTTTCAACTCACGAAATGGTGTACTGACAGACCAGCAACTGTCCTCTTTCTTCTTTGCTCCAGCACCCACACCCACCCACGCACCCACCACACACACACACACACACACACACCCACACACACCTACCCACCCACCACACACACACACACACACACACCACATACACACACACACTCATACACAATGAGCCTTTCCCCCACACACACACTATTCTTAAGATGTGGCTGGATAGTGACTGTATCACAGTAGCCATGAGCCACACACATGACTTCCTCTTGTACTTGAGGGACGTTTAGAAGGTAACAGAGATGAGGACATCTCCAGTGGCTCACAGGCTCAAATCTTAGATATTTAGCAGAGTTATTTATACTCTATTTTAATAAAAGTATAATTCTGAGATGTAATAATTAACATTATTATAACATCTATGAAATATTCAGTGACCTTTTCACCCTTAATATCTGGCCTACATATTGACAGTAGCCCTGAGTATCCTCTTGAACCTTAGTTAACAAAAAATGTCTAGTACCAAAGAAATTCCTTGTCAGAAAGATATATATTTTGAAGAAACACACATTAATTTCATTTTAAGCCAGTCTCATGGCAAGTGATTTTAACTATAGTTTTAAAATAATGAAATGAGGGGCTAAAGAGCTAGCTCAGTGACCTAAGTGCCTGCCTGGCAAGTGCAGGGACCCTGGTTCGATCACCAGCATCGCATGCCACGGTGGCCCCGCACCAAGCTGGCCACCGAAACCAGGCATGGTGGCACACACCTGTAATCCCAGTGCTGGGCA